TTATTTTTTAAAGCAAGCCAATTTTTATAATTCATTTAATGTGCATGTTATGTAATATTGTGCCAGATAAACAGCATACATCATTCTACGTGTAAATAATGTCGTTCACTAGCGGGTAAATAATAATGCGTAAAAATAATAAACGGTGGAAAAATGAAATTACGAAACTGGAAATTCTGAACATGCGCGCATGCATGAACATAGATTGTAAAGAAGCCGCACGCGCATTAGAATTACACGTGCGACCGTACATCTGCTCAGCCATTGCTTGTATAAATAAAGATTCGTTTATCGGCAAGCTGGCATGTACATAGCATATTTTTTGGAAGCATTCTATATTATTTCTTTTGTGTGTGCGTGTATGTATTCTCTCAAAAAATATAACGTAATTTTTTTTATTTACAATAATAGCATCATATATGGATATTGAATTTTATTGGGATATTATATTTTTAAATAAAGAATTATTTTAAAATAGAATAATTTTCATAATTCATAAGAGTATAAAATAATATAGAATCCTTCTAAAAATATTACTTAATTAATATTATTATATTATATACAGGCTAGGCTGTTGACAAACAAATATAAAAAAATCACGTTTATGGGGAAACAAGGAGACTCATAACTATCATAATTTAATGTTTGTCATTTGGAAAATATGCTACCAAGTAAAATATCATTGATTGATTATAATAACTCAGATTATATATTTGCATCTATTTATATTTGCATCTATTTATATTATTTTTATATTTATATTTATACTAAAATATTTTTGGAAATGTTCAATAAAAAAATTTTGCAATGCGAATGTCTTTCAATGATTTTTTTCAGTCTTATTTTTATTTTAAATGCAGAGGAAGAGAGAAGGAGGTGTCAATTGAATCGAATATCAACGAACTCCGGGATCTTACGACTTTATGAAGTTCTCTTGATCGTTTTGGGATCGAGTTTTGGGTAACCATTGACTTTTGCTGACCGTCCTACGATTCGACCGCGATTTCCTCACTTCCATTGTGTCACATTTGAAGCAATCTTGATAGACTTCGTAACTTCGTAGAATCTCGCTGGCTTTCCGAATAGTGTAGATTAGGTTAATGTCGACAATTGTCCCGTTGAGTCAATTATTTGCAATCTCCATACAGAACTTTAAAGTGATTCTGTAGTTAACTTATTAGTCGTAAAGTTTAAGCAAAAGTTAAAATTTTATATAATATCGAGCTAGACTCATTACATCAGTAACTAGAATTTTTATTCATAAAAAAATTCTTGTTCCTAGCATATAAATTTTTCTCTTTCTTTATAATTAACAATATTTTATAAAATTGTTTCCAATGCATTTGTTACAAAATCAATCAGTTCAAAATTTAGATTTACAAACATAAACATTGTTCAGAATTTTTATGTGTTTATTACATTATTATAGAACAATATGAAAACATCTATATGGTCTATAAATTTTGCCTAACATTTCAAAACATTTGTGAAAATAAAAATCACGATTAAAAAAAAATATGGTTAAAAATTACGATACAAAAATTATAAATTCAAAAATGTATCGAATAGAAAAAAAAATAGAAAACAAAAGTAGAAAATCCGTCAAACATCAAATGATATCACATATAATTAAGTCTGAATCTATCTGAAATACTAGTTTCTCAAAATAAATTTTCATCTACGAAAATGGACACACACACACACACATAAAATACCCGCACAGTACATTATCGTATTCCGACAAAGTTGTTCCGGTACGAGTAGTCAAGTTTGCGTGGTTTAAGCCAGCCGCGATCGAAGTGCCGCGGTGTTGCCTGACACTGTTTATAATTTAAGGGGTTCTTGAGAGTCAAGAGGCTGCTGCGAGGGTTTGAAGTGACGCCGACGGTGGCCTAAGACATCGCGAGGGACAGTGTCGTTCTACTGCGGTTAAGGATCGGCAGGCAAGGGTGAAGTACAAAGTGTCGAGGTGTCTACGTGCCTTGCCATAGTTCTGATATGTTCGTGACTTTGTTACAAGAAGATGTATTGACATTTGGCAAGATATAATTGATAATTTTACGTGCTTTAAGTTACAGGATCGTTATTCGTGTATAAGACAATGAAAAGACACCTCATTTTTTGAAGCTACTTTTTTTTAAATCTTTGGTGAGCAATAAACTAGTAATGAAATTTTCATTTAAAATTGCAATTAAAATAAGCGTCCAAGTTCAAATGTTGATAAATATTCTCTAATCTACTTTTATATTAAAAGAAAAAAGGAGAGAGAGCCAGAGAAAGAGAGAGAACAATGGATTAAAAAAATAATTTTAAATAAATTATTAGAGAATAAATATACATATATAATTGAGAAAAAATATATTATTATTATTTATATTATAAATACGTAATATTAATCATATAACAGAAAATTAAATTTATCTAGCAACTTGCATAAAAATTAAAGTCATTCTCTAAAATTAAAACAGTCGAAGATAAAGAATAAAAAAAAATCGATTGTCATAAATTTCATAAAAAATAATTCATAATTTATATTGTTCTCAATATGATATTATAAATTCAGAATCTCTCAACAACGATAATACTCTTTCGGCGTGACCTGGACGTGTAATAAAATATCACGACCTGTATTCATTTTGATATATCTCAGCTAAACTCGGCAAGATTAATACGGTACATGCATTTTAATATTAGCTCGATAGTCGATCCTTCGGATGGGGAAACACGATTATACTCCTTGGGTCATCAGGAATAGGAAAACCGAAAATAAAACTCGATGAACGGTTTCGTGTTACGCGTGTCCCTTGATATTAAACCTGCTTATCCATTTATTATTAATTATCTCGTCCAACGTCGGATGCATATAAGAATTGCCTTTTGCTCTTCAAGATATATGTATATAACAAAAGATTCGTATATGTAGGAACAAGAATTAGAACAGATGGAAAAAATTATATTCGTGGCGATAAAAAGATAATATGCGGGTTACATAACTCTTTTAATATCTTATCTAGAACCGACGGACTTGTTGCATTTTTGTGAACTGAGAAATTTGGCTCTGTTTAAAATTTACGGATGAAAAAAAAGCAATTTTCAGTATATTGAACTGAAATACATATATGTATAGAGTACCACAACTAATATACTAGACGCACATACATCGTGAACCATATTATACCTTTTTACGGAAACGAGACCGTTGAAAAAGGCCGCTTTAAGAGCCATAAAACATTTGTTTCCACCACCGCCACTTGCCGGAGAGGTATATTGCGTTCACTCACGAGTGCGAGATTTTGAATTGAATTTGAAATCAGGGGGCCCGATTTTATGGCAGCCGGGTGTCAAATGTCGAAGTGTCGCGCCCGGTACTGGCTTATCGCTGAGAAACTCCGTGATCCCAGGACTAAAGCTCCGAAAGGGCGTTATCGGTTTACTCCTTCGTCCTCAGGTCGCGATACAGGATGCGGAAGACCGTTCAATTCCATTTTCGATTTGAACCGAACGCGTGAAAAAGCACGAAATGGGCGCGAAAGGAAGCAAGAGCTACTGTTTCGTTTTATTGGCCCCGCTCTTCCTTGATGATCATTCAAGATGATCGGATTATAGTTATAGCTCTAAGATTCGCAGCTGTCTTCCTTCAACTTGTTGCAAATGTTTTCCGTGAGATTCTCGTTATATTAGGAATATTCTTCTACCATTTAATCCCTTAAATTTTGCATTTGTTTTATACAATTATAAATTTAAATAAGAGAATCAAAAGATGTTTCTCTTTTTTATGTATATAATGTGTGTGTGGAATATGTTTAAAATTTATTTCTAATTATTTATCTTACACAATTTTTTTTAAATAATATAATATGCATAAATACATATCTGAAAATATGTTTGTTTTATTAAAAAAGTTATGAAAAATAATATCGAATTAAAAATCTCTTTCAAAATAATATTTGCAATACATCTACATCTTATATCAACATTAGTTATACACCTTGATGTCCATCAATCATTCTCGTTGATTCAATTTACATTTGTTACACTAATGTATGTCGAAATATTGCAATACATCAAATCAATAATAATAATATAAATCAATATAAATCATATAATATAATAATATAAATCAGTGAAACAAATAAATAATATCATATTTGATAGTTTTAGTTTTGATAGTTTTTCCACAAAATCAACATTAATTATCAATATATCGGAGTCAGATTATAAAAAAAAATAATAACGAACATTTCTCTTGGTCTTCGTTTGATAGCGCGCATCATATGATACATGTTGGCGGCAAATGCGGCTAACGAAAAAAAATGTTACGATGCTACATTGTTGGCGCGGATTAACGTCTTAAACCTTATCGCGTATAAACAGCTGCGACTATATTTAGCGACATTATGTGAATCAATGTTATCATATTTCGTCACCATTTGATAAAAGCGAGTGTTTCACCGTTTGAATTAGTACAAATTCAGTCTAATCATGTACTAAATACGACTGCTATTCGTATAAATCCCATGGCGAGCAAATATTTCTTCACAAATATTTTTTCGCTATATATTTTCAAAATATAACACTTTTTCTAGAACAACGTTCCAACAATGCTTGCGTTGTTATATTGATCCGTTTCAATGTTTAGATTAAATTCGATTAGATATAAATCACGTTGCGAGATATTTGTTTTCATATCTTCATCCTTCCATATTTGTGTCTCATTATTATATTTAATTATTAATCATATTTCATTGCAATGTAATTTTATCTCACATATTCAACTATTACTTATATAAAATTAATCTAAACAAACAAAAACAGATTCATAATACAGCTTCTAATGATTAGCACATGTGATTTCATCGCGTGATGTCATGTTAACTTTGGACTAAGAGGATTCGTCCATCATCATCGGCTTCACGTCCGAGACGCGTCAGAAAGGCGATAAAAAATAAATATTGCATGCGGTAATAACTCAAGGTTGTTCCCCGAGATTAATTCCTTACCTGATCGTTGTCTTGTTGATCTTGGCCGTAAGTGGGAGTATCACCATTAGGGGTAGTGGCGGCGGAGGGTCGCTGTGACGTTGACAAGTTGATCGCGCCGTCTCCGTCTGTGTCATGATCCATTATGCCATCGTCCTGAAATCACGATCATCGTTACGTCAGTATTCTCTCGTGCACAGAACTTGATTATAAACGGCACGCACTTTTAGAAGAACGTTGTTAAGTATTTTTCTGCTATTTGATATAATATTAAAATATTTTTATTTCAATATTATATACACATTAATGGTTAATATCTGCAGTATCGTATATAATTCGTGTTTCTATCAAATAAAAATTGCACGTTATATTTATCAAATTTCCTTATCGCACATTATTTTGATATTTATTTAAATTTTAATGGAACAAATTTTTTGAAAAAATAAAATCTGCATTATATAATCATATAATATTTTTCTTCACTCTTTTATTTCAATCAATCTTTTAAGAGTAATTTATTAACTGTAGTATAATTATCTATGTATATAATTTTTTACAGCCACACAATTTCTATCATGTAAAGACTAGAAAAATAGAAAGAAAGAGTGTATCAGAAATATTTATTGGAGTGTATCAGAAATATTTATTAGAAAGCCGCGCGTGTACACAAATAACTTTGTGTTTGGTGTGAAATATACATATATTTTGGGAATATTCGATCATGATCTCAGAGAGCGGTAATCGTGATGAGATCTTGAAACATGCGCTCTTATCCGACATTGCCCTCACGAGAGCCACGGTTTTAGATCGAAGTCTGACGCACGTGATTCCACCCACTCGACGCAAGAGAAACAATGTTTCACGGTTGCGGAAAGCTAATAATATATACTTTCCCGGAAATACGTAACACATCGTGCTAAGATTCCGCTAAATTCATGCTAAGACTCTGCTTTCCATCATAAGCAGTGTATAATACACAATGCCTACAAGGTTATCGTAAATATTTCGGAGTACGCATCATACGATGGTTTAGCTACGTGTAAATAATTCGTAAAATCCATCGTAATATCAAGAAGTGAAAAAAAAATACATAAAGCATATGCACATATTGATGAGAATTTCAGATATAAATTGTGTAATATTTTAAAAATGCGTAATTAATTAGAAGCTCAAGTAGAAATTACATTTTCATTAAAGCATGAGAAATAAATGAAAATGTCTTATGAATTATTCTATTACTTTCGCATATATGCAAAATAGGGGGGAGTCAAAAAATCATTATTAACATATTAATTATCCAAACAAAAAAAACTAGTCATGCAATATTCCCTCGTGAATCTCACACCGGGCTAAATCGGAAAAAATCAATTTTTTCCTCAGAAAGGAATAATTACACGCGATATGCAAACCGTTAATTAAACATCGGTCGCTTATCTCGAATTATGTAGCTAGAAAAGATACGTTTAAGGCATCTCCTAGGAAAAAAAAACACATAATCAAGCATCGCATAATTAATACCTATTCACAACATTGATTATTCGCGACGACAGATTCATGACTAATATGATACGCCTAAAGTCATCCGAGACGATCGCTTAATTAATTCTTAATTAATGTACGCATGGCGCGAAGATTCAATCAAAATTCCTTACATCTGCCTCGATCCGCTGGCGGTCGCGTTGCAGTCCATGGACGTTAACAATACACTTTCCGACGAAAGGAAGATAAGACAGGCCACGATGTGCCGTTTCCGGCATCGAAAGCACTACTCCGGGGACACTAACTCCGAAACTTCACGCGTCGAACGGCATTTCCGGTCCCGACACTCGCGCTTACGTCCACCGTAAACATCCGGTACGTACCACTCGGAAAACGGCGGCGGAAGTCGGAATCTCCCTGATTGTCACAAAAACACCGATCTCACACACGGTTCGCGCACTGCATCCAGAAAGCGGCACTTTGAACCTCCTCCTTCGCGAAACCTAGAGTCACTCGCGACGGAAAAGGAGAAGAGGGGTGAGACGCGAAAACGCACCCCCGACAAATGGAGCGCAACGACGGCGACGGTGAAAAGATAACGAAAAAAAAAAAAGGGGGAAAGATACGAAGGAGGAGAGAAAGAGAGAGAGCGGATTCGTGCAAAGAAGAAGACGAAAGGCAACGTTAGCGCGCCGACCGAGTAGAGCGAGGACTAAACACTAAAAGCGGCACAGGCATACCAAGCAGCCCGACCGGCTGTTGCTTATTGTGTAAATATAAACAAATATAGTTGAAACCAACCAACAGGCCTGCTTTCAGTTTCTCCCCTCCCCCCTCGACCCCCCCGCTGCCGCAGTCCTCCGCTCGCTCAATGTGTGTACCCTACCTTCTTCTCCTCCGCGTCCCCCATCCCCCTCCTCGTACTCCCGCACTCCCTCTACGCGGCGCGTCCAAAGACTTCCTCCCCTCGTCCCGCTTAGACACCCACCCTTCGCCGCGTCCCTGACCCCACTGCCGCCAAGCAAACCACTACATCATACGCGGCACATCGTGGCCTGACTCGCCTTACCATATGTTCGTTTCTCCTTCTCTTTCCTCCTCTCCGACTATATCCTTTTTTTCTCTCCTTCCTTCTTCTCTCTCTCTCTCTCTCTCTCTCTCTCCTCTCTCTCTCTCTCTCTCCCTCTCTCTCTCTCTGTTCCTCTTTATGCTCGCGCATCACACATCGCCGACTCGTCACACACTGTCGCCGAAGTCGGTGGGTTGCGAGAGCCTGAGAGATCTCTTTGGGGTTCTTTTTTTGTGAAATGCCTTTACGGATCATAGAAGAAGGAAGCGACGGCCGAAGTGCGTTTTTTTCGAATATTTCTGGCGAACGTGTTGTGAGAATGGCTATGATTATTCGGGACCAGTTTATGTGCCAAAGTTCCACTGTCGATTAATTGGAAACGGTTTGTACGAGGAAAAATGTAAGATCTTCCCCCCCCAAGCTTTCCTGGATGCAAATTTTCAATCAATTCGCATGCCATTTTTACTATCAAGATTTAAAAAAGGAATTTGTTTCGACGATTAAAATCTTTTTTTTTCTATTTTTTTTTTTTACAAAGAAATTTTAAAAAGTTGAGTAAATAGAAATTTTGTAAAATTGATTAAATTACACATTTTAGTTATTTTTAATATGATAATTTACTAATTGTTTACTTTGGATGAGCCTTTAAATATATGAAATGTACGAAGAATTTTGAAGTTCTTTGTTCGTGCATTAACTTGTACAAAAGTTTTACGAAAATTTCCATTCATTTCAATCATTAATAGAATTATGTTTCCATTTCATTCAAGATGTTTACATATTTTCGTCTGTAATTCTCTGCCATGTTTATAACTCACGTCTTATAACGACATCAAGACATCAAAATAAATTCACTTTATGAATAAATATCTATCAAGTAGAGGCGTTGAAACTTTTCTCTTTTCAAAATCACACATCTTTCATCGCTTTGCGTAAAATCTGATGCTTTTTGCTGCACGTTAAATGCATGTTCTTCAATATAATTCAATCTGAGTCATAAATTATACAAACTACCATAAAGATAGGTTATTAATAATACACTCTTTAATAGATGGCACCGACAAATTATGCATCTTTGAAGAACAATCTCTTAATGTGCACTTTAGGATAAGCATTTCTCGACTTGAATCCGCGTTTCGCGAAAAGAAACGAAGTGGACGGTGCAAGTATGGAAATTCTCTATATTCTTTGGTTAGCTAAGTATATATACGCGTGAGAGGCGGTACATATGAGCGATAAATACGCGTGTACACACGTGTTGCCTGACGCAACCTGAACCACCGGCTCGAGTTTGTACAAGCGAGCCGGAAATGGGGGACAAAATGTTCCTCGAAACATGATGTGTCCTTAAATATTCCTTTCACTCGCGCTTCTCAGCTCCTCGACAATTATACGATATAGAGCGATATACTGTATTGCACTATACTTGTCCCGTGGAGAAGTTCAAGACGAAAACGCGTACTTTCGAATTATTATATCATGTACCCTCGTTTCGGACGAACTTGTCACTATACAATGACATGGTAGTATTGTAGGGAGAATAAACCTTCAATTAAATTATGACAACCCCTGTTCTTTAAAGTTGACGTAAGATGTATGGAAAAATGTTTATCCAAACTTTCGATTGTGAATAAACGTTAAATGGAATCAGATGCATCTGATAAATAAGAAAAATAATTGCAAATAAAACATAAGCAATTTATATGATAATAAATATATTATATATAAATGGTATGGCGGTATATATTATATATAAATGAGAAGAATCTGATAGAGTATCAAATTATTAATTAGTTTTGGAAGAAATCTTAGAATAATTTGTTAAAAATTTACACACAAAGAAAAAGCAAAAAGCATGTATAATTTAATTTATGCACTGAGAAAAAAATCTGATTGCATTAATTAGAATTCTGGTAGATTCAACCAGTATGTCTGTTGGGAAATGGACGAACGAGAATTCTTGTAGGAATTACCAGATGAATCTGATTAATTTCTTCCTGTTAAATTTACCAAATTTTCTGGTTAATAATACTAAACTCGCCAGCACTAAGTCGCTTAAAATTTTTTCCATCTAATCTCAAAAGTCTGTTTAATATTCTGAATTCCAACAAGATTATTGGATAAATTCAATCCAGATTATCGAATAAATTATTTTAAATTCAGTTTGTTAGAAATTAAACTGATAAACAGTGATGTAACTCAAACACACACAATCAGACAGCTAGCATCCTCTTTTTGGCACTACTACTCGTAAGAGAAAAAAATATACTTTGGATTTAATGTTAATATTAGTTCTTTATATACATTTTATGACAAATATTGAATACGAGTTAAGTTAAGAGTGGCTCGCCGCTTAGCGGCAAGCAAAGAAATTAATGTAACAAGAAATTTTATAGATCTAACCAGAAAATACTAACCAAATCCTTATAGTAAAATCTATTAAACGTTCTAGTTATAAAAAATCGAGTCTTATCATGATAACTAGAAATTCTTGTTTGATTTTATCAAAATGCTTTCAATCATATACGTCTTATTGGTACAATCAAACGATTTTTCTCAGTGTATATACATACAAGTATTATTAAGAACCGCTTGAATTTTCTGAAAA